GTCTCGATTTGTTTGTCAAGTGAGTATACTGGATTACCATTAGGAGTGTAGAAATTATTTAGTTTTACTATAAGTATTTATTTTTGTTTATAAACAACTTTTTAAACAAACTTTACTCAAATTGAAAAATGACAATTTTGATAGATTTTTGGCTATTTATAAGTATTTTAAGTTTGCCAGTTTTTTATGAAGTTTTTATTTGGTAGATACTTTGTGAAAATCATTGTTTTACCGAACAGAAATATTTAAAAATTTAACAGGAGGCTCATTATAAGTTTTATTTAGTAGTCAAAAAACTAAATGTAGAGTGTAATGCAGTAAATTTTTTTATTTTTATAGTCATATTAAGGTCAAATGTTGATAAAAATTGTGAACATTTCAACCTTACAAATCATGTATGTAAAAGAACTTTGGTCAGAATCTTTTTTGTTTATCAATGAATTATAATTGTTTAAAAATATAAATTAAATGGCCTTACATATCCTACATTCCCAATGTCCCGTCAACAGTAGCGCACCCATCAGTAGTATCAGATCTTTTTATAATAATTATGTTGGAATTGAAAAAGTTGCGATTGTTATTTTTTGCTATCAGTTACTAGAAAAAAAATTGAATACAAAAATATAAATTTTATATCTACATTTAACTGTCAGTGTATTACACACTGCAGTGGTAAAATAGCTCCAGTAAAATATTGTGTTTTTATAAAAACCTCTGCATAACCGATTTTTACCACTACTGCTACCTACTGGTTTTTCAGTTTTTTTCATAATTTTTTTTTTTTTTTTGAATAGATACGTTCTTCAAAATGTTTGGAATTATAAACAAAATTAAATATAAAGTAAAATATTATTATACTTAATATAATATACAATATATTATAACCGTAGTAAGTACATGATACGATGATAATATTTTTGTTTAATATTTATGACAGTTAAAAAGTATTGCTGGCTAATACCTATGTAAGTGTAAAACAACTTTGTATCAAATAGCAATCAATTGATGGTAAATACAGACAAAATGTTGGACAGCATTGTAAAACCAATAAAACCATTCCTCCCTATGATCAGAATCTAAAAAACAAATTTAATATATTTCCATAAATAGATGGAGTATTATTTAAAACAATTGTCCCGTTTTTCTCAGTTTTTTTTGTTTATTAAGAAAACTCTTGAGAAAATCGAAAAATTACCGTTCCTTAAAGTAACTCTCCAGTCAAATTTCTTTCTAGAAAAATTGCTATCATAATAAATTAGAGCAAAATTGTTCATAGAAAAGTTTTCCATAGGAAAAAAGAAGGCCGTAATTTATTTTAACTAGTATCTACATTTCTTAAATTTTCCCGTTTTCCTCTGTTTTTTTTCGATTTTTCACATTTGATGAAAAAATCGAAAAATTACGGGCAATGCCGGGCGCGGGACAGTAATTATATATAACTACTAATGATTTTTTAATAAAATTGTCTATTGGTGTGCTCAGCATAGTTACCTACCTACCTAACATGCAAATTAAGTCTAAAAACTTAAAAAAAAAAAAATAATAATAATAATAATAATTGCACATATAAAAATTATTATTACAAATTCCCCAAAAAAAATTTTGAACACACATTATAAAATATTAATAACAAGTATAAAGTAGTTATATGTAAAGATCTTACTTCTCTAAGACACATGCCCGGATAGCTCAGTCGGTAGAGCATTAGGCTTTTAACCTAAGGGTCTAGGGTTCAAATCCCTATCCGGGCGGATACTTTTTTGCAATTTTTTTGTTACATTTTTTTCATTGTTTTAACGGCAGACCGTGTGTGCTAATGTAACAATAATTATTATGATTGGCTTACGCGAACTTTGTATTGTGGTAATCCAAATCACCCGAAATATTACACATAATCACTATAATACCATTGACGTACTGAGGTCGTTGTCTTGTGTAGCCATATTTATATTGTCGCGGTTATTTACAGAGATAATATAATCCGCTCGTTGACATACTGTCATCGTACTGTTTAACGAAGTCAGTGTTTTATAATTAGTGACACGGTAGTGTCACAGTAATGGCCGAGTTGATAGGTTCGAATTGTCAGGGAGGGCCGCCGTTATCGACGATAGCGCGATATGATCGACATACATATTTTTCTACGGATAATATGCAGAACGCCCCAAAAGATTTTGTGATGAGATCGAGATGATAGTTGTGATGAGTTGCAGGAATAGTGGGATTTTTGTGGCCAGTACCTATGCCCAGTGGCGTGCCGAAGTGGGGTTTTTTTTTTGAGGCAATTGCGTCACGACTAAAATGGGCGGGTGGGTGGCTGACCAAATATATTGAATGTTGATTGAGATCGACTAGTTCAGATACTTGCCTTTCTTTGTGACTGTGTTTTAGATATGCTTTTGGTTTTGTGTATTATATTAAATATAAGTATCCACTTACAAAATAGGAAGCCTATATTACGTGCCTGGTGAATGTACTTGAATAAAGTTTTTGCTGTAATTATGTGTAGTTCGTGTAAAAATCAATGATCAATGTTCGGATTGGGTGTGTCCGATTTTTATTTATTTTGTCTTAAATATGAAAAACGCATAGATCATACGATCTAAGGAAAAATATTCAATACGCCACTGCTTATGCCTCCGATGTGATAATGTTTCACCTTGTCCTTAACAATGTTTTTCCGTACGACCACGCCATGGTTGTTATTTTTTGCAAAATATCAAGTCGCAGTTTATGCGTGATTTCGAATGATCACTATTAGGCAATTTAATGTAGTTTTATTTTTAGTTTTTTATCACCATCGGTTTGTATCCTGAATACTAAAATAATTACCTATATGATATAGATATCAAAGTTTACAAACAGCCGGCGTAGATTAAATGCTTACGGCTTACACCATTATTGTACAATTGTATGAATAGTGCGCGACACGAAAACGGTCTCAAACCCTCGTAAATTACTTTGATTGTTTTCAACACGTACAACTAAATGGTCTAGTTTTTTTTTTTCAAATAAATTGTCTGTGAGGTGATTAATTTCTTTTTAGATTGGTTTTTAATTGTTAAAATAATTGTGAAGGGACATAAATTAAAGTTAAATAAAATAAAGTTCAAAAAAATATTAACCTACTATATACCTACGACGTAACAGCTATTATGATAATTGTATATACTCATAACATTCGGTTATCTGGACTTTTAGATAATATTTTGATCCCAAGACAACTAGATCCACACTGTTCCCAAAGGTATGGTTGGAATCTAAGTGACCCGGATCCTATTTGTTCATACACTTTAAAAATGGGTTAAAAAATTAATTTTTAGGTGTTGGGTAGACGTCTAATTAAATAATTCGAAGTACAAATTAAGAGTTAAATAGTGGTGACATTGTATACAAAATTGGGAACCACTGGTGCACTGGGCTTTCCTATCAAATATTGCTATCGGAAGGTACATAATTTTTATATTATTACTTAACCCGGTTACATTTGGTTACTCGTCAAAGCATGCCTATTAAAAATTTAACATATTTTTTTACAATTCGACGATTATCACATCATATTATCTTGTCTGTTATCATTTTCACGATGAGTTGTAGTATTTATTCTGAAGTCCTTTGTTATGATTATAATTTTTGGAATTTATTTAACTAATTACTATTTTAGTAGGTAATAATTAATTTGTTTTGATTATCTCGTCGAGTTATAAAGGTGTAGAAAATTAACTATTGCCATTGGAATTATAGCTGTTCGCAAAAATCTACATTTTACACTTGGTAGGTATGTTTTATTTTGTTCTCACAGTATCTATACACATTTTTTTATAAAAACTAATTGTTTATTATCAACAAATAGGTATCCATGCAAATATGTTTCAATTAACTTTGCTGTAGGCCAATAGTATTCACAATTGTTACAAGTTTGAAAAGTTACATTTCTATATAATTTGACTATGAACGTATAAAACATTTTCAAAAGAATGTAACATACATGTTCATTGTTTTTTTTTTGACACATTATAGTGCAATTGATTTTCAAACACACCATTGTGAGTTTTATTGCATTATATTTAGGTACCTACCTCACACAATATTATATGTAAAAAACAATCTAGTTAATGTTAAAACTTTGGTAATTTTTCAATTGACATGTGTGTTGTTTAGGTAATTATTATTTGAAGTACTGAAAATTATAATACAATACAATAACTTACAATAGGTCCCTACTTACTTTAAAATATAAAACTTGGGTAATAAAATTAAGGACTGCTAAGTAGTGATTAATTATTAAATAATGAAATGACAAAAAAAATTTAAATGGTGACCAACTTTTCCATTAATCTACTGCCCGAAACTCAATTATGGAAAAAGAGTAGAGATTAGAAGGGGGTTTTTTCTCTAAAAGTACTTGTCAATTTTTTTCAATTATACTGATTATCTTACCTATTAGAAAAACTTCTGAAAATATATTTTAATTCATAAAGAAGTTTACTTGTAATCAAATAATTTTGTTTATATTATAATATTTAAAATTCTAAGTGAAGTGAGAAATGTATTATTTTTAATACCCAAAGGCTAAATCACTAATTAATATTGTATACACCAGATTCCATGATTTTCTCTATGATTATCAAGATTTCTCATTCTATTATTACTAACTACTTATTTTAACAAAATTCTTGCTTTATTTGAGATTTGTATAGAAACTTTCATGTGACATTTTTAACATAGTTGGTCATTTTTTCTGAAAAACATTCAATTGTTTGTATAATTTATATTGATTTCTGGGTTATATCTTGATAATAAGGGAAAAAATAATATACTGCTCAGAATAGTTTTTTATTACTTGTAATTAATGTTTTATTGTTTTATGTAAATATAAGTATATTAAATTGTTCTGTATATGTCCCTTCCAACAATTTTATTTAAATTTTGTTCGATGCAACTTTCAAAATTAAAAACTGCAATTTTTAACATATATTGCAATAATGTTATAACAATATTAATATACCTAATTTATATTGAAACTTTTATTTTGTTATGTTATAGTTTAGTTACCAGCTTATGAAATTCTGAACAATGGTTTGTATACCATGCATCCTTGTACCATTGTTACTTTTCTTATGGGGTATGATCAAACCAATATTGAACTGGTTCAAAAATCCAAAAGAAAACTCTGGAGATCAAAATAGTGATGCTGCCAATGATGATGTCTGTTCGTTACTGTCATCTTGTCCTTGTATCAATAAAAACAACAAACCTGAAGATCAAGCCCTCAAAATAAAGGAGAGTGAATTATTACTCAAAGAACCACTCGAAGTATCTAATATCGATAAAAAGAATATTTAAATAAAGCTATATATTCTGAGTATTTTATAATTGTTGTATGATTTCTAAATTATTTTTTGAAAGTCTTTACTATTTAACTTTATTATTGTTTATAATCTGTGGATGAAATTTAATCTAAATAGGTGTAAGACAGTCCAGTTATATTGTTATTATTTTGTTTGATGTAGATTATATCAATCAAAACTTTTTTTTGCGAGTATCATGTCTATGCAGAGAATTACAAAATTATGGGACTAATAAATAATAAATCCCATAATCATTTTTTTTAAATATATTATAACATTGTTTGTAAACTACAAATTTAATGTACCTAGTCACATATTTTATAATTGTTATTAACCTTCTATCAGGGTAAATAATCTCCCAGCTTTAATTTAGACATAAATACAACTTTTCCACAATAATGTAACTACCTAATATTTGGTATAGTTCTTGATAACATATTTATCTAAATTTATGAGTCATTCAAAAAAAAAAAAAAAAAATTTCTGTATAATTATAATACCTGTATTTATATATTATGTAATTAAAATAAATTAAATAATTAAATAAAATCTAAAAAACACAATTTACAATACATTTTTGTATTAAAAATAGTTAAATGTATTGAAGATTATATATTAACTATTAAAAAAAAAAAAATAAGTTTTGGATAATTTTTACCCTAAATATGAAAAATAAACAGCGTAACCAGTAGAAGGTTAATTAAATATTTATAAAATCCTATGAATTTGTGACTTGAATTAAAATTATAATCATAATATTTTAAAATTATCGCATTGATAACATTATCTTCCAAACATTAATTAAGGTTGCTGGATAAGTACTAAAATGTATAGATTGTGTTGGATAGTTATACATGGCCTTATTAATATATGGTTGCAAAACATTTCCTGTATAATATCAAGTATACCTTATCCCTGGAATGTAATATGTAAACTACCATAAGCCCGCTTATGTCTTGGTATCAAAATTATAGTACATAATAAAAATAATTAATTTTTATTTATCTAATAATTTAATATGTATGTTATTATTTAATTTAACATACCAATTTAGTGTAACTTGTTCACAGAAATATTGAATTTTTAAATTATAAATAATTTATTTATGTTTAAAAATTATAATTCCTCAGTGTTTTTCAAATAAGTAGTTTACAATGAAATCATAGACAATTATAAATTGTATCTATCATAAACATATCATTAGGTATTTATTTTAGATAAAAATCAAATTCTGTATATATATATACATTTTGAAAGTTATTATATGTAGGTTATATCTACCCATATATTTAACATGTATTTTCAAAATGGCCACATAATCTATAAAGAACTGATTAATATTTTGACTACGAGTTAATAAGTTAAGATTTTTAAATTTAACTGACTTGTATTCAATTCAAAGAAATGGCTTAATAGATTACTACTATACAATTTATTTTAAAAACAAATTATTACAAAATACCTAGTTTTATCGCTTATATTTTAAAAACAAGAATATGCATTATATATTTTGTTCAATAATATTTGTTTAATATCTTACCTATTTTTCTGTTTTTCCTGGGTTTTCTCATTTATTATGAAAACAGCTGGGACAATCAAAAAAATGACTTCCTTAAAATACCACCTTAGTCAGATTTCTTTTTAGTAAAAGTGCTGTTATCTTACATATATTATAGGTATTTATATTTTGTAAGTCACACTCATTTGGTCAGTGCCACTGATTCAGGTATTGATATCACAATGGGTATTTAATTCTTGAATCCAACAGTTGGATCAAATTGTATCGTAAGATTAGTTTTATTTAATCATGGAGACCTGACATTTTCATAGAATACTTTTATTTACTTTATTGGTTATTGGACAATGGCTTATCGTTGGTTATAGGTATAAATTAAATAACTCTTACAAAATTAAATCTTACCTTCTTCACTACCCACCTAAAACAGTCCCTCCCCAGTATCAACTCTTTTTTAAATATTATATGTTTTAAAAAATAACTATAACTGCCATTGTCTGGATGTAATGGCAGCTCTTGAACCTTTTTGGGTTGCTCTTCATTCCAATACGGCAATATTGATTATTGACGTAACTATTAGGCCAAAAGTGAGCCACATCACTATTGAATAAAATTTTGGTCGAAAACGGTAGATTTTCCTCAAACTTTTCAAGAGCTTGAGGTGACAATTTGGAAGGTCGGTCAATTATGAAATGTCAAACAACACTAAACAGAAATACCATGACAGTTTGATACAACTCATGCATTATTTGTCATAAAATACCATTTAAAAATAGTACTTAATCATCTATTATGACTTATAATAAATCTCCTGTTAAATTTTAAAATATTTCTGTTTAGTCTAAGAATAACAATTTTGTTCACAGAGTGAACCGAATAAAAATTACGAAGTCGATAGTATGATTTTTAAAGGTTGGGGGTGCCAGAAGATGGTCTGTAAAATTCCGTTTTACAGGAAAGTGGAGAGGATACAAATAGATACAAACGTTTGTCCGAAATCGATAGGACGATTTACAGGCGCCATAGAATCTGACATTATAAAATGGTTTATTGTTGATTACAGGTATAAATCAAATAACTTTATGTATCCCACCTTCCCCACTACTCACCTATAATAGCTGCAACATTCATCCACAGTATTAGCTCTTTTTTAATATTCAATTATAATGGGTAAGTTGATCTGATGGCTGATTTCAGTTTCATTTTTTTATTCAATTATAATGAATTCTTGTGTGAATTCTTTGTAGGTGACTAACAAGTTACAAGTAAAACTTACAATTTTAAAAAGTTTAAACTATACTTAAATCTAAAAATTTTTATGATAAACCAATACAATTGAATTATCATAAAAATTGTATAAATTATTCATCTAAAAACTTAATAAAAAAACTATTCAATAAATCTTTTGTAATTGAATGTTTAATTCCTGTAGAAATATCTGAATACATAATAAAAAGTTCTTAGACATTAAAAAGTTCCATAAACATAATAAAAACTTACTATTATAGTATCCAAAATTCTGTACTTAAAAAAAACATTCAATACATCTATGATGTAATAAAATAAAATAATATATTTAGTATTACCAAGGCAATACAAATAATTAAATTATCATTCAATAAAGACTAGTATAAGAATAACCCAGTTAGTATATTGCATATATAGTAGTAACTACCTATAGCAGCAATTCTTAACCTGTAGTACTGGATTCCACTAGTGGTAGGTGGGCAAAAAGCTCATAGGTGGTACATGAAGACATTTTTTAACAAGTGATAAAAAAATTTATTAGTTATTATGTTCATGTAATCCATAAATAAAAATGAAGATTATAACTGTACTTTTGTGTATTAAATGTTTATAATTATGTAGATTTAATAATAAAAAAATTCCATACGTGTAAAATGACCTAAACAATTTTTTTATTTTTTGATAAATAAAAAAAAATCTAATATTTGTGAAAAGTGGTAGGTATGTGACAAATTGCAAAATGTGTAAATGGTACGTGGATATGTAAAGTTTGAGAACTGTTGACCTATAGTAATTACAGAGTATTTATCTTTTATTTATACAAGATAAATAATATAGTATAACATAATTTGTATTATATAATTTACATTTCTATTTATAATATAGCTACTTAAAAGTTTTAAGAGAAGTATTAGTTTTTATTGTTTTATGAAAATAAAATTGTTTTGGCCAAATGCTTGAAAATTTAACAGGACATTTATCATAAATTGTAGCTAATTAGTGGTAAAAAAGTTAAGTGTAATGTATTTTTTTTTTTTTATAAGTATTTTGAGGAAAATTGTAAAAACTATTTATGTTTCATAACATTAAACCAAATTATATTTAAAATTGTTTTTTTTTTAACAATTATTCATTGTTGTGTACAGGGATAAATACAGAATAAAGTTTTGGAGTGTGTTTTTTAAAATCGGGTATTGAAAATACGAATTTTTTTTAATAAACATATAAAAAGTTAGTTAAGGTTAGGTTAAACTAAACATTTCGGAGAGGAGGGGAGTTGAGATTTCGAAGAGGTGATTTAGATACCTCCTGCATATATGCCTGTTGTGCCTGTTGCGTATAGATATAGATTAAATAGTAAATTTCAAATATTGCTTAGGTTTTTTATACAGTTATAATCCTTTACAAGACTTTAACAGTGGCAAAAGTAAGGTAGGGGTTTGGGGATTATAACAAAAATAAGACAGTTTGTTTTTTATTTCATAATATTATAATACATAGGCATATTATTATATAATAGTTAGGAAAATGTCTGTGAGATTTTCGGTTACATAATTATAGCATTACTGTTATATAATATTATAATAATAATTATAACAGCATAAGGCATGTAATGATAAATTTGTCTACAAAATACTTGCCTTTACTGGTGTTATTATTTTCTATAATATAGATAAATAATAATAATAATAATAATAATAATAATAATAATAATAATAATAATAATAATAATTTTAATAATAATAATAATAATAATAGTAATAAATAATAGTATATAAACCACACTTTTTTTCTTTTTAAATAATATAATAAGATATAAAATTATTCAACATTATTATTATAACAAATATTTGGCGAATTTCTTCAATAATATAATATTATAATAATTTATAGTTACTGGAATATTAATAGTATGATAATTAATATATTAATTAGGTATATATAATAATAATTGAGAGATATAAAATAAAATCACATAATATAATATAATATTTACAAAAAAATGTATAACAATAATATTTTTATCATTTTTTTTTTTTTTTTTTTATATTAAAAAATTACATATATTATAAAGGTAAATAATGGAAAATGTTGCTTAATACCTAATAATAATTATATTTATATTTAAACTCTTCGTGTAAACAGAAATAATGGAACATACAAATAAGGAAAATTTAAAAAATTATCGATTATAAAAGACATGTCAAGAATACAACATAATAAAATAAGTTATCAAATAAAAATATTCTTTTTTAACAAATTGCACGATTTTGTGTGTGTGTGTGTGTGTGTGTGTGTGTGTGTGCGCGTGTGTCTTCTTCATATAATATGTACCAGAAAAACAATGAAATGTCTACGAAGACAAATTGTTTAAATTAATTAATTAATTGTTATACTTATATTATTTACGATTTATATAACAATAATCGCTTAATTATTATAATAATATATATATATATATATACGAGCAGGTACTTATACTATATAGGTAGGTACACATAGAATTTGATTTAATATAATTATTGTAAATTAAATTTAGGTACATGTAATCATTATGTTATAGATAAAAACATAAATAGCAACTAATAAGTATAGGTATACTTAATACAAAAAACATAGAAAACACTAAAATTTACCTAATTATTTATAAGTTTCAAGATGTGTTTTACATTATTATTTCTTTTATAGAGTTTTGTCGTAACTTAAAGAAATAATAATATTATTTTATACTATAGGTATATTAGCATATTAATATGTTGTATTATAATAAATTACAGTATCAGTAGATATATAATTAGACTAGGTAGACTAGGTATATTAGGTATTTTTATAATATTTGTATTATTTCAGCTAGATTATTAAAAATAAAATAAATAAATGCCTAAAAAATAAATTATTTTAAATTATTCTATTTAAGAGAATAACATTAACTATTAAAAAAAAAAATAATGATTAGATTTAATTTTTAAAACAAATATGATAAAATATTTGTTATACCAATATAAGCCATCTGTTAAAAAAAGACTTGCGTCAATAGATAAAAATTATTAATTTACCTACCTACCTATTGTGTGCATTTTTCTCGGAGTGTCTTTCCATCATAATCATTTTTAAATATAATATATTTCGAGAATAATATTTTACATTAAGGATTTATACACGTACAGTTGGAGGTGTACAATCGACAAACTGAAGGTTTGTCAGTATTTTTCCGAGTTTTGGTTTTA